AATTCAATATCAATCCAAATAACGTTAGGTGGGGCCACACAATTGAAAAACACGAGTATGTTACTGTGAGACACCTTTGTATTTGAAGCGTTACTCGTGACTTTCGTGTCAGAGCTTCCAATAGTATTCCTGGTTAATAATTTTAAATAATAATTAAGAAAAATAAAAAAAAATAGCTTAATTAATATAATAAATTTGTTAATTATTTATTATTATTGAAAAATTGACTCACAATATTAAAATAATATTATATTCACTAATCATTAATGATTAAATTACAATAATAAATTTAATGTTTATTTAAAATTTTAAAATATCACTTAATATGATTAAGAAAAAAACAAAACATGACAAATGAAAGAAAGAACATGTACATTGAAAAATATATTTTTGTAATATATTAAATATAAATAAATTATTATGTTATAATATTTTTTAAAAACTTAAAATTAAGGCTTTTTTTATACAAATAAAAAAATTATTATTTTCTAAATATCTTGAAAAGAATAAAATTATGTAAATATCCTAAAAAAAACATATAACAGAAGTCGATTTAAATGAATTTTCGTTTTGAAAATTTTTACACAAAAATCGATTTAAATCAACTTTTATTATAGGCATAATGTTTTATATAGAAGTCCATTTAAATCGACTACTATTTTGCTTTTGAAATTTTTTACACATAAGTCAATTTAAATCAACTTTCATTCTATTTTTAAATTTTTTTACACAGAAGTCGATTTAAATTGACTTTTATTTTATTTTTAAATTTTTATATAAAAATTAATTTAATTCAACTTTCATTTTGGTTTCAAATTTTGTTTACACATGAGCCAATTTAAATTAACTTCACTCACACATGAATATGTTTTAGAAAGAAGTCGATTATAATTAACTTTGTAATACATAATTAAAGTTAATTAGAAAGAAGCCTATTATAAATAAATAAAAATTTGTCATTTGATGATGAGAAAATTTTAAAATTAAGTGTGAAAATTAGAGTGAGATGATAACATTCATTAGCAATCGCTTTGCACGTCTGTTCTTAAAACTTACAACAAATTTTAATACAATGACACAATGTGCTACACACAATATGCATGATATGCTGAAGGGATGCCACACATTCTTTGTAGCTTCTAGAGCTAATTTGATTGCGTGATAGGGATTGGGCTGGAGCTCGTCAAGAGTAAGACAGTAAACCATACAATCGACGGCTAGCAAGAATAAGGAAAAAGATAGTAAAAGCTTAAGGGACTCATCACGAAGGCAAGTGCTCCAGTTGAAGCTATAAATTAAAAGGGAAGACTAAGTAGCGGTAGTTAATTGAGATAGGAAGCAACTCATCCGTTAGAATAAGGAAAAAGATAGTAAAAACTCAAAGGATTCACCACGAAGGCAAGTGCTCAAGTGGAAGCTATCAATTAAAAGGGAAGATCGGACAGTAGTAGTTAACCGGGGAGACAGCAGCTCATCCGTCAAAATAAGGAAAAAAATAGTAAAAGTTCAAGGGATTCATCACAAAGACAAGTGCTTCAGCGGAAGCTATCAATTAAAAGGAAAGACCGAGTAGTGATAGTTAACCAAGAGGAGCAGCTCATCCGTCGGATGAGATCCTTCTACTTCACGTTTTTGGCTTATCTTTTTCTTGCGTAGACACTTTCAAAGCAGCTTTGTCTCCACCTCAACCTTCTCCGCTCCTACCTAGGTATCTCCAAGGACTTGAGCTAAGGGATTGTTTACTGAAAGTCCCATATAATTATCATGCAATCAAATTACCTCTAAAAGCTACAAGAAATGAGTGACATTCTTTCAGCATATCATGCATTATGTGCAGCACATTGTGTCGTTGTATCAAAATTTGTTGCAAAGTTTAAGAACAGACGTGCAAAGCGATTGCTAATGAATGTTATCATCTCACTCTAATTTTTATATTTAATTTCAAAATTTTCTCATTATCAAATGATAAATTTTTATTTATTTATAATAGACTTCTCTCTAATCAATTTTAATTATGCATTACAAAGTTAATTATAATTGACTTCTTTCTAAAATATATCCATGTGTGAGTGAAAGTTAATTTAAATTGACCCATGTGTAAACAAAATTTGAAACCAGAATGAAAGTTGAATTAAATTAATTTTTATAAAATTTAAAAATAAAATAGAAGTCAATTTAAATCGACTTCTATGTAAAAAAAATTTAAAAGCAGAATGAAAGTCGATTTAAATCGACTTCTATGTAAAAATAATTAAACCTATAATAGAAATCGATTTAAAATGACTTATGTGTAATAATTTTTAAAATAAAAATGAAAGTCAGTTTAAATTGACTTTTGTGTAAAAAATTTTAAAAATCGACTTTTATGTAAAAAAAATTATACCTATAATAAAAATCGATTTCTATATAAAAAAATATAAAAATTAATTTAAATCAACTTTTGTTATACGTATTTTTAGAATATTTATGTAATTTTTTTAAAAAATATTTAAGAATTAATTTAATATTAAGTTTTTTTTTTGTATATATCAAATTATTTGCTATTCAAATTAACTTCTATTAATAATATTTTTTTTATCTTTAATATATATTTAAATGTTTTTAAAATTATAAAATATACCACTTACATAAACTCGTTATTTATAATAAAATTAAACTTCAACTATTTTTTTTTGTCCAGATGATATGATAAGTCAAAATATTTTTTAGTAAATGATCTATTAGTTTAAAAATTCATATTATATTAAACTTTTTATAAGTCAGACCGAGTAGCTGCGGGATTCGATATTTTCAGATCTCTCCGAGTGCAGATGTGGTAGTATGAAAGCTTCCTTGCTAATTGAGTATTAGTACTTAGCTTCCTTATCTAATCATTTCTCTTCAGACTTAAAATTTAAGAATATAGATAACTTTGTTTTAGAAATAATCCAGTGACTGTTTTCGCAATTCTTGGTTGTATAAAGACAACTTTTCATCCCACACGCTAATTTGTAAAATAATCTATACTATTTTAAATAATAATAATAATGAACTTAAGAATGTTTTCTAAATATACATAAAATATCCAACCCACTACATTATCATACCTTGATGTGATTCAGTAAAAGCAATGCCCATTGACCTTGTCAAGAAAAAAAAAAACCTGAATTATGAAAGGTTTTTTTTATATATATATATATATATATATTGTTTGTCTGTTAAAAATAAAATTTTATTTCAATAATTTATAGTACAATAAAAATTAACATTAAAAATCAGTATATATTATCAAAATAATAAAATATTTGCAACCCTTCACCTAATTTTATTTTATGTTTGTACTGCATAAGAGAATTACTCAATCCTACATATAGAAAAAAGAAATTGAATACTTACTCGGTCCAATTTGAACCAATATCTTATCAGGATTTAAAGGTAAATAACTTAATTAAAGATAATAATTAAAATATTATTTAAATCAAGAAAAGAGTTAAAATCAATGTTAACTTAGCAGACCTATTAGTCCATTACAATGCCTATAAAAAGAAGGTAAGAAGTACATGTGAAGGGTTCACTTTTTATTATTAAATATCATTTATAACTTAGAGCCAAATCCTGACTTCAGCATTAGAATGCCTTTTGCAGGTATCCTCCCACATCAACGATCTTCAGAAAGACGTCAGATCAGATATTTAAACAAATACCCTTGCCTTTTCCAGGTATCCTCCTACGTCAGCGATCGTCAGAAGATATCAGATCAGAGATTTAAACAGATACTTTCACACGTCAGAAAGACGTTAGATCAGAGATTTAAAAACAATCATTTCCCTAACAGGAACAATATTAAATTTATCAAAATTTTAAAGTCAAAGTTGCCTCTTGTCAATTGTTGTCTTCGTCTTCACTTATCTGCTGTTAAAAAAGTTATATATATATATTCCCATGAATAATTAATCTCTCGGTTGACTAATCATTTTTTATTTGTAAAAAATTAAATAAAACGTTTTATTTAACCCATGCAATACCCATCAAGTTTGTTCACTTGCGCCGACTCATTCTATTTACTACAGTAACCACGTGGCTGTCTGTGATTGCATCAACTATTTATCTATACATGTATCTCCCAATTTGATCTGTTCGGCCCTTACATGCAATCACATATTTTATGATATATTTTTTTTCTATATAACTATAACATATTATATATTTTTTAATTATCAGATATAAAACTAACCTTTGAATCTCTGTTGCATAGCTACACTATTGCATTCTTTATCTACAATTTTTAATTTGCAAATTTAATTTTAATTTTGATTATAATTTTAACTATTATTTTATTTGCTTTTTCATAATTTTCACTACTTTTAATTATTATATACATTATTCAATTATCATCGATATAAATAAATATTAATATATTATTACATTATAGTTACAGTATTAAAAATGAAATAATCAAATTTTTATTATAATATAAAAATGATTAAATCAACAACCAAAATGTTAATATATATTCCTTTAAATATAATATAAAATAATTTTTATATAAGAGAACAATAGTTCATTAAATATTTTAATATATTTATTTTATAATATTAATATGTTTTTATTATAAAATTAGTTTTATGACTGTTTTAACAATTAAATAATTTATAAGTATAATTGCAATATATTACCAATATAATTTTTTTTTACTTATTATAAAAAATAATTATTCACTAATATAATAACGTCTAACTAAATAACAATATAAAAATATTTTATTCTATCAACAAACTTCAATTAAATTTATAATTTATTAATCAAGTATACTTGTAAAAATAATTAATAATAAAATAATATTTTTATCATTAACTGTTGTAAATAAAATTAATTTTATATATCTGCTCATAGGTTGGGAATTAAATCTAGCAGTATCTACTTCAAGGTAGGCTATTCCTAATCGGAAAATTAAAACCAAAGGCACAGTACTTAACATATTATTACACTACACTGCACGAGCGCATCAACTTCAACTCAATATGCATATCATCAACTTCTCTGTAACCCCATTAGCACTTTTCTCTGCGTTTCTTTTGCTCATCCACGCAAGGGAATCAGATCCCCCTTACCCTGTCTATCACTGCCAAAACCAAACATTTTACCAACCCAACACCACATTTCAGTCCAACTTAAATACCCTCTTCTCTTCTCTCATCTCCAACTCTTCTCTTCAATCCAACAACGGTTTCTACACAACCACTGTGGGTCAAAACACCACTGACGTCGTCAACGGTCTTTTCCTCTGCCGTGGCGACGTCAACGCCACCCTCTGCCTCGGCTGCGTCGCCACCGCAGCAAACGACATAACACGCCTCTGTCCGAACGACAGAGAGTCCATAATCTGGTCCGATTTTTGCATGTTGCATTACTCCAAAAGCACCCTCAAGAACAACTTGGTTACTGGACTTTCCGCGCACGACCACACACGTGTGATAAACTCGAACATTGACAAGTTCAATCAGTTATTCGCTGAGTTACTTTACAGTTTGGTGGAGAAAGCTGCAGCCGGGGTGGAGATAAAGTTTGCTGCAGGCGAAAAGGGTTTCACGAGTACACAGACACTGTACGGTATGGCACAGTGCGTGCCCGAGTTAACGAGAGAAGGATGTACCGCGTGCTTACAAAGCGCTATTAGAAGTCTTACCATGTACAGTGTACGAGCAGAGTTTATGTTTCCGGCATGTCATATCAGATATCAATTGTATCCATTTTTGTATAATACCACTTCAGAGATGCCACGTGTTCCTTCCCCATCTTCGGGTATGCATTAAGCATTTATACACTTTCTACGAAACTTAGTTTTCATCAATTTTATTGTCAAGTCAACGCTGTTTTGGGATTGAGAGGGTTTTTGAGGAGGAAGTTGGTTCCTATCTCCACTTTAAGCATTATTAGTCAGTCACTTATGGTATTTTAAAAGAGTTATCTTGGGCAGGAAGCAAACGTATATCAACGATTTTAGCAATTCTTGTCCCAATTGCCATTTTGGTGGCGCTATTGGTTCTTGGCTGCTGTTGGTGGCGAAGAAGGCGAAGCAAAAACCATGATGCGGTCCTGAATGGTAGCATTAATAATTTTAACTTTTTTGAATAAAAATAGAAACTATTATTGCTCTAGTTATTTTTCAATTTCAAAGCTTCACAATGTGCTAGCAATTTTGTCAATCGCATGAAGTTGTCTACTTTCTTTCTTTTAAACAGCAGCTACGAGTTATTTTATGGGTGAAGATGAGTCTTTGCGTTTTGACTTGGCTACAATAGAAGCTGTCACAAATGGATTCTCAGACGAAAATAAAATAGGCGAGGGTGGATTTGGTGAGGTTTATAAGGTATGGATTAAAATATTCTTAATAAATTTATGTTGACTGGAACTTTCTAATCACAAGCATGCTTTCAGGGTACCCTTCCGAATGGACAAGAGATAGCTGTGAAGAGGCTATCAAGAAGTTCCCGGCAGGGTGACTTGGAATTCAAGAACGAGGCTTCACTTGTTGCACAGCTTCAACATAGAAATTTAGTTAGGCTGTTAGGATTTTGCTTGGAGAGAAAGGAGAGGATACTTGTTTATGAATTCATACCAAATTCCAGCCTTGACAACTTTCTTTTTGGTTTGTAATTTTTTAATTTCATTAACTTGTTATATGGACTAATTAATTCTTCTTCGAAACTCAATTCATCGCTAACTTCAATCATACAATTTGACTAATTTGTAGATCGTGAGAACGAAGAAGAGCTAGACTGGGCAAGACGTTACAAAGTTATAGTTGGAATAGCTCGAGGAATGAAGTATCTCCATGAAGATTCTAGGCTAAGAATAATACATCGCGATCTCAAGGCTAGTAATGTTCTATTGGATGCGAACATGAATCCAAAGATTTCAGATTTTGGCTTGGCAAAGATTTCCCCTAATGATCAAAGTCAAGTAAATGCAGCAACAAGAAGGATAGTTGGAACATAGTAAGTGGAAGGCCAACAAATGTAAATTGTATCACCAGCTCCTTAGTAGAGAAGTAGCTTAATTTCTAGCAAACTTTATGTTATTTTTCCTTCTTTTCTGCCTTCGAAAATCTTTCATGTTATTTTACTGGAACGTCCAGATTGATATTTTTTTGTTTCAGTGGTTACATGTCTCCAGAATATGCAATGCATGGAAAATATTCTGTGAAATCCGATGTGTTCAGCTTTGGAGTCTTGGTTTTGGAGATCATTCATGGCAAGAAGAACTCAAGTTATTATCGATCACATGAAGATGACGACATTTTGAGCATTGTAAGTTTAAATTAAACCACAATTCAGTGGTGTCAAAATTTTGCTGCATGAAAAGATTTAGGTTATTGGGCGACCCCAGAAACGTGAAACTTGTTCTCTAACTCGAGTTTTGCCACAGACTTGGAAGAATTGGACAAATCAAACACCGTTCTTGATTTTGGATCCAAAATTGAATGGCTCGTATTCTCGAAATGAAGTTCGGAGATGCATCCACATCGCTTTATTATGCACTCAAGAAAACCCAGTTGATAGACCTTCAATGGCGACAATAGAAGTTGCGTTGAACAATTATTCTGTAACTTTAGCGTTACCTCGACAACCAGCATCTTATCTGCGATGGAGAACAACACCAGACAGATTAAGACACCAACGTGGTTCTGATGGGAACAGGTCCCCAATCCCTTCGTGTCCGAATGATTCTCTGATTACTGAGGTATATCCCCGCTAAAGGTTGTAACTAATCTCGTTAAATTGAATCACACACACATAAAACTCTCGGGAACTCTGTTGTTTACGAAGAAGTGAAACAAATGTGGCATATGAAAATCGAACTATTTTTTGACTAATTTAGACTCTGTCGTATAAGTGGATCTATCTTTATATAAAATATTCCTTTCATTATTACTTCATATATAAATTATTTAAGTCGTTATTACTTTGTGCATAAAATACCTTTATGTATCCTATTTCTCACGTAATCAATTATTAATGGATATTCTTTTCGTTTTGATTAATTATATTTTAAAATTTATATAAAATGTGATGAGAATTTATAAATTAATTTTTTAAAGAAAAAATTAATTAATTCATTAAGACAAATAAATAATAGTTATATGTAATAAATTTATAGTATATTTAAAAGTATTTTATCTTAATTTTATAATCACATATTATGTAGCAAAATATCAAGATATAATAAAATTATAATAATTTTAAATTATATGTTTTCTAAAATAATAAAAATAATATATTAAATATTATAAATTTTGTACAAATAAAAATATTTATAAAAATTGAAAGTTTATATAAAATAATAAGATAATTTTGATAAACATAAATACATAATATTTTTAAAAAATCAAAAAAATTTATATAATGTAATAATAAAAATTAAGTAGCAACTTTTGTATTTAAATTTCAAAATAAAATTAGACATAAAATCATTGTAGTAAAAAAATATAATTCACACATGATTTTTAATAATTTTAATTTTAAAAAATAAATATAACAAAACATGAAAGAAAATAATTCTATTAATTATTTTATTTTTAATTAAATATTTTTATTTATAATATAAAAATGAATAATTAAACTAAGTTGTTTTTAAATTCAATATCAATCCAAATAACGTTAGGTGGGGCCACACAGTTGAAAAACACGAGTATGTTACTGTGAGACACCTTTGTATTTGAAGCGTTACTCGTGACTTTCGTGTCAGAGCTTCCGATAGTATTCCTGGTTAATAATTTTAATATAATTAAGTGTGAAAATTAGAGTGAGATGATAATATTACAACAAATTTTAATATAATGACACAATGTGTTGCACACAATATGCATGATATGCTGAAGGGATGTCACTCATTCCTTGTAGCTTCTAGAGCTAATTTGATTGCATGACAGGGATCGAGTTGGAGCTCCACAAGAGCAAGATAGGAAACCATACAATCGACGGCTAGCAAGAATAAGAAAAAAAATAATAAAAGCTCAAGAGATTCATCACGAAGGTAAGTGCTCCAGCTGAAGCTATCAATTAAAAGGGAAGACTGAGTAGTGGTAGTTAATCGGGAGAGGAAGCAACTCATCCGTTAGAATAAGGAAAAAAAATAGTAAAAGCTCAGGGATTCTTCACGAAATCAAGTACTCTAGTGTGTGAATACCCAAATTTATCTGAGTCTCCTTCAAAAATAAATTTAAAAAAAAATTAAATATAATTCTTTTTTTTAAGAGGTTAAGAAAATAGAAAAAAATAATTTAAAATTTAAATTTAAATTTTCAATTTTTAAATTTAAAATTAGATTTAGAAATGGTCAAAGTAGTTTGTAGATTTTTTACTGGTTATCGAAAAATAAGGGAGCTTTTATTAAAGATAAATAAATAAATAAATAGGATCTAGGGTTTTAGAAAATACCTATAAATAGGAAGTTTAGGTCTTTAGAGAGAGGACTTTGTAAGTGGACACCTTTTATTTTCTTTACAGAGATACTTTGAGAGCACAGAGAGAAAAAAAGAGAGGATTCAAGAGAGAAAGCTCAGGAAACGAAGAGAAAGAGGAGATTCAGGGAGAGCTGGAGAAACAGAGAGAAAGAGGAAAGAGCTAAAAAAAATAACAGAGAGTTAAAGCATAGTCCTAGAGATCAATTGGAAAGAACATATCTAGAAGGTTGAAGGAAAAGTCGACTCAAAAACTCTGAGTCATCACAAATGAGTCAACAAAAATATAATTCACTTCTCTTTATCATTAAGTAAGAATTACTATTTCTTTTTTCTTTTGTTGTTCCTTTTTTCTTTTACTCATCATATCTTTACATGTTTTTTCTTTCATCTGTATTAAATGTTTTCTTTTTACAAATCTTAGTTTATCTAACCTAAAAACTTGTCCTTTTCTTATAAACCTACAAAATTTTTAATTTTCCTTTTAACTCTAAAATCTTTCTTTCTGCAAATTCTAATTTTTTTAACATGAAATATTTGTTCGTTTTGTAAAAAAAAAACATTTTTTTCTACCCCAAAAATCATTCCTTTTGCAAAATTCTAAAGAATCTAATTTTTCTCCAATAATCCTTTTTTAATAATAAACTCTCTTGTTTTTTTTTTCGTAAACTTAAAAACCCTAATGTTCTTTTAACACTAAAAACCCACAGTCAAACCCTAAAAAATAAAATCCAAGTCCATGAAAATTAATTTTTTTTTTCTAACTCCAAGTATTACCTTTTTTTGCAAACCCTAAACACAAATTATTTTTTTCTAACTCTAAATTATTCTTTTTTGCAAACCTTAAAAATAATATTTGTTTTTCTAACCCAAAATCATTCAATTTTTTTGCAAGGTCTAAAACAAACTATTTTTTTAACCCTAACGATTTTCCAAATTATAAAAATTTAATTTTTCTAAATCTTAAAAATTCTTTTTTTTCATAAATTCTAAAACCCCCGATTTCTTTGCATATCCTAACCTAAAAAAAACTTATTTCCTAAATTGAATAAGAGTTATTTACTCATTATTTTTATTTGTTCTTGTATTTGTTTATTTATTCTGTATGTTTCTCGTTTATTTCTTTTTTGCGTGCAAAAATATTATATTAAAAGGTACATCAATTTTCATTATTAAAAAAAAGGGAGTCCTTGAAATCCACACAACGGCCAAATAATTTTGATAGAGTGGAGGATCCACCTTCAACGTTACTTGGATCGTAAGGGTTTATTGAGTAGCTATGTGCTAACTTGAATCCTGTGCAAGAGTGAATTTACTTTAAAAAAATAATAAAGAAAAATTAAGTTTCTCAACAAAATAAAAAAGACAGAAAATCTTTGAAACTTATCCAAAATACAATTTTTGAAAAAGAACTACGTAGTTTTGATTCTTACATTACACACGGAGGATATGTAGGAGCATGAACTTGACCTGTCTAGTCTAATTTTTTTTAATTGTTTTTTCAGGTTCAAAATATTTTAAAAATTGTTTTAAACTAAGATTAATTTCTAGCACATTTTTTTATAAAAATAAAAAAAACGAAAATTTTATTTTATTTTAAAAAATAGAAAATAAAAAATAAAAAAATAAAGTGTTAAGATAAGTTTTTTTACTATTTATTTCTTTAATACAAAAAATGAAAAAAAAGAATAATATTTTTATAAATGACTTATTCCTTTAATTCAAATAATTTTTATTGTATTTCCTCATTTAAAAAATAAAAAAAATTAAAATATTTCAAAAAATTTGTAAAAATTAGAAATAAATCTAAAAATAATAAGAATAACAAATTTGAAAATAGTAAAAAAAATATTAATTAGTTTCTTTTAGAGTGAAATGAATGTTTTTAAAGTTAAAATAAAATTTTGCACAATTAATTAGAAGGTAATTGTTTTATCCAACGGACGTTATAAGGTGTTAATACCTTTCTTATACGTAAATGATTCCCGAACCCAAATCTAGTTTCAAAGATTTTTTTATCAAAAGTTTTTTCAACATTTTCTTTAATAAATTTTGGTGGCGACTTCATGTTATCGTCATCTCGTCGTGGCCTCGGTTGCGACACAGTGGAAGTCATTAATTAGAAGGGAAGACCGAGTTGTGGTAGTTAACCAGGGGAATGGAGCAACTCATCCGTTAGAATAAGGAAAAAGATAATAAAAGCTTAAGGAATTCATCACAAAGACAAGTGCTCCCGCGTTGATACTTACAAAGCGGCTTTATCTCCACCTCAACCTTCTCCGCTCTTAACTAGGTATCTCCAAGGACTTGAGCTAAGGGATTGTTTACTAAACGTCACATATAGTTATCATACAATCAAATTACTTCTAAAAGCTACAAAGAATGAGTTAGATTCTTTCAGCATATCATGCATATTGTGTGCAGCACATTGTGTTATTGTATCAAAATTTGTTGTAAGGTTTAAGAACAGAGGTGCAAAGCGATTGCTAATAAATGTTGTCATCTCACTCTAATTTTTACACTTAATTTCAAAATTTTCTCATCATCAAATAATAAAATTTTATTTATTTATAATAAACTTCTTCCTAATCAACTTTAATTATGCATTACAAAGTTAATTATAATTAACTTCTTTCTAAAATATATTTATGTGTGAGTGAAAGTTAATTTAAATTAACTTATGTGTAAACGAAATTTAAAACCAGAATGAAAGTTGAATTAAATTAATTTTTATATAAAAATTTAAAAGTAAAATAAAAGTCAATTTAAATCGACTTCTGCATAATTTTAGAAGCAAAATAAAAGTCGATTTAAATCGACTTCTATGTAAAAATAATTAAACTTATAATAGAAGTCGATTTAAATTGAGTTCTGTATAAAAATTGTCAAAATAAAAATGAAAGTGTAAAAAATTTTAGAAGCAAAATAGAAGTCGATTTAAATCAAAAATCGATTTTTATATAAAAAATTTTAAAACAAAAATAAAAATCAATTTAAATTGACTTTTGGTATATGTACATTTAGGACATTTATATATTTTTTAAATATTTAAAAATAAATTTTTTTATTTTATTTGTGTAAAAAAATCTAAAATTAAAGAGCACAATTCGCTATTTCATTGCTATTCATTTTTATTTTCTCATTACATTTTATTATATATATGTCTAGGAGATCAAACCAAAAGTTTATGTGTAGCAAATCAGGATGAATAGCACTAGACGAAGCGCGAGATTCCCGTTGAAAGCCGAATAAATATTAACATTGCGTTCATACGACACAATATCAATAAATGACAATAATCTGAACAGTGAAAACCATGTCAGAGACAAATTCTTTATTAAACCCGTAGTTGACTTGCATAACATAATAACTAGAAAAGGAATCTGCAAGAGCGACTACGTTCCATCCTCTTAGATCATAAAATAAACTAATCTAAAAGGACAAAGATGTGCAAGTGTATAAGTTTAAAAAAATTTATATTTAATTTTAATTTTTTATTTAATTTAAATTTAATAGTAAAATAAAATAATAAATAATAAATTATTATATTTAATTTAAAATATAAATTTTTTTAAACTTACGTCGACGTAAAAAGATTTACTTTAACCTAAAATACTAGTAGAGAATAAGAGTTTAAACATTATAATTAAAAATATTTGTTTTAATTATATGATTAATTAGAATATTTGTTGTAATTATTTAAAAATTTTTATTATAATTTTGTTAGATATTTAATGTTTTAAATTTTAACATATTTAAAAAATATATCAATATTTTTTAGTTTTTAATCTAATTAAATTTAGATTTGATTTGTGTAGTGTACCTTAATATAATAAATGAATTTAATATTAAATTATTATTTTTTTACATATATCAAATTATTTGCTATTCAAATTAACTTTTATTAATAATATTTTTTTTTATCTTTAATATATATTTAAATGTTTTTAAAATTATAAAATATACCACTTACATAAACTCGTTATTTATAATAAAATTAAACTTCAACTATTTTTTTTTGTCCAGATGATATGATAAGTCAAAATAGTTTTTAGTAAATGATCTATTAGTTTAAAAATTCATATTATATTAAACTTTTTATAAGTCAGACCGAGTAGCTGCGGGATTCGATATTTTCAGATCTCTCCGAGTGCAGATGTGGTAGTATGAAAGCTTCCTTGCTAATTGAGTATTAGTACTTAGCTTCCTTATCTAATCATTTCTCTTCAGACTTAAAATTTAAGAATATAGATAACTTTGTTTTAGAAATAATCCAGTGACTGTTTTCGCAATTCTTGGTTGTATAAAGACAACTTTTCATCCCACACGCTAATTTGTAAAATAATCTATACTATTTTAAATAATAATAATAATGAACTTAAGAATGTTTTCTAAATATACATAAAATATCCAACCCACTACATTATCATACCTTGATGTGATTCAGTAAAAGCAATGCCCATTGACCTTGTCAAGAAAAAAAAAACCTGAATTATGAAAGGTTTTTTTTATATATATATATATATTGTTTGTCTGTTAAAAATAAAATTTTATTTCAATAATTTATAGTACAATAAAAATTAACATTAAAAATCAGTATATATTATCAAAATAATAAAATATTTGCAACCCTTCACCTAATTTTATTTTATGTTTGTACTGCATAAGAGAATTACTCAATCCTACATATAAAAAAAAGAAATCGAATATTTACTCGGTCCAATCTGAACCAATATCTCATCAGGATTTAAAGGTAAATAACTTAATTAAAGATAATAATTAAAATATTATTTAAATCAAGAAAAGAGCTAAAATCAAAGCTAATTTAGCAGACTCATTAACCCATTACAATGCCTATAAAAATAAGATAGAAAATACAGATAAAGAGTTGACTTTTTATTAATAAATACCATTTATAACTCAGAGCTAAATCTTAACTTCAGCATCGAAATGTCTTTTACAAGTAATCTCCCACGTCAGTTATCGTTAGAAAGATATCATATTAGAGATTTAAGCAGGAACAATGTTACATTCATCAAAATTTTAAAGTCAAAGTTGCCTCTTACCAATCGTTGTCTTCACTTATCCGCCCGTTAAAAAAGTAATATATATATATTCCCATGAATAAATAATCTCTCAGTTGACTAATCATTTTTTATTTGTAAAAAATTAAATAAAACGTTTTATTTAACCCATGAATACCCATCAGGTTTGTTAACTTGCGCCAACGCATACTATTTACTACAGTAACCACGTGGCTGTCTGTGATTGCATCAACTATTTATCTATACATGTATCTCCCAATTTGATCTGTTCGGCCCTTACATGCAGTCACATATTTTATGATATTTTTTTTTTCTATATAACTATAACATATTATATATTTTTTAATTATCAGATATAAAACTAACCTTTGAATCTCTGTTGCATAGCTACACTATTGCATTATTTGTCTACAATTTTTAATTTGCAAATTTAATTTTAATTTTGATTATAATTTTAACTATTATTTTATTTGCTTTTTCTTAATTTTCACTACTTTTAATTATTATATACATTATTCAATTATCATCGATATAAATAAATATTAATATATTATTACATTATAGTTACAGTATTAAAAATGAAATAATCAAATTTTTTATTATAATATAAAAATTATTAAATCAACAACCAAAATGTTAATATATATTCCTTTAAATATAATATAAAATAATTTTTATATAAGAGAACAATAGTTCATTAAATATTTTAATATATTTATTTTATAATATTACTATGTTTTTATTATAAAATTAGTTTTATGACTGTTTTAACAATTAAATAATTTATAAGTATAATTGCAATATATTACCAATATAATTTTTTTACTTATTATAAAAAATAATTATTCACTGATATAATAACGTATAACTAAATAACAATATAAAAATATTTTATTCTATCAACAAACTTCAATTAAATTTATAATTTATTAATCAAGTATATTTGTAAAAATAATTAAGAATAAAATAATATTTTTATCATTAATTGTTGTAAATAAAATTAATTTTATATATCTGCTCATAGGTTGGGAATTAAATCTAGCAGTATCTACTTCAAGGTAGGCTATTCCTAATCGGAAAATTAAAACCAAAGGCACAGTACTTAACATATTATTACACTACACTGCACAAGCGCATCAACTTCAACCCAATATGCATATCATCAACTTCTCTATAACCCCATTAGCACTTTTCTCTGCGTTTCTTTTGCTCATCCACGCAAGGGAATCAGATCCCCCTTACACTGTCCATCAATGCAAAAACCAAACATTTTACCAACCCAACACCACATTTCAGTCCAACTTAAATACCCTCTTCTCTTCTCTCATCTCCAACTCTTCTCTTCAATCCAACAACGGTTTCTACACAACCACTGTGGGTCAAAACACCACTGACGTCGTCAACGGTCTTTTCCTCTGCCGTGGCGACGTCAACGCCACCCTTTGCCACGGCTGCGTCGCCACCGCAGCAAACGACATAACACGCCTCTGTCCGAACGACAGAGAGTCCATAATCTGGTCCGATTTTTGCATGTTGCATTACTCCGAAAGCACCCTCAACAACAACATCGATACTGGACTTTCCGTGCACGACACCCGTGTGATAAACTCGAACATTGACAAGTTCAATCAGTTATTCGCTGAGTTACTTTACGGTTTGGCGGAGAAAGCTGCAGCCGCAGTGGAGATAAAGTATGCTGCAGGCGAAAAGGGTTTTACGAGTACACAGACACTGTACGGTATGGCACAGTGCGTGCCCGAGTTAACGAGAGAAGGATGTACCGCGTGCTTACAAAGCGCTATTAGAAGTCTTACCATGTACAGTGTACGAGCAGAGTTTATGTTTCCGGCATGTCATATCAGATATCAATTGTATCCATTTTTGTATAATACCACTTCAGAGATGCCACGTGTTCCTTCCCCATCTTCAGGTATGCATTAAGCATTTATACACTTTCTACGAAACTTAGTTTTCATCAATTTTATTGTCAAGTCAACGCTGTTTTGGGATTGAGAGGGTTTTTGAGGAGGAAGTTGGTTCCTATCTGTCTCCACTTTAAGCATTATTAGTCAGTCACTTATGGTATTTTAAAAGAGTTATCTTGGGCAGGAAGCAAACGTATATCAACGATTTTAGCAATTCTTGTCCCAATTGCCATTTTGGTGGCGCTATTGGTTCTTGGCTGCTGTTGGTGGCGAAGAAGGCGAAGCAAAAACCATGATGCGGTCCTGAATGGTAGCATTAATAATTTTAACTTTTTTGAATAAAAATAGAAACTATTATTGCTCTAGTTATTTTTCAATTTCAAAGCTTCACAATGTGCTAGCAATTTTGTCAATCGCATGAAGTTGTCTACTTTCTTTCTTTTAAACAGCAGCTACGAGTTATTTTATGTGTGAAGATGAGTCTTTGCGTTTTGACTTGGCTACAATAGAAGCTGTCACAAATGGATTCTCAGATGAACATAAAATAGGCGAAGGTGGATTTGGTGAGGTTTATAAGGTATGGATTAAAATATTCTTAATAAATTTATGTTGACTGGAACTTTCTAATCACAAGCATGCTTTCAGGGTACCCTTCCGAATGGACAAGAGATAGCTGTGAAGAGGCTATCAAGAAGTTCCCGGCAGGGTGACTTGGAATTCAAGAACGAGGCTTCACTTGTTGCACAGCTTCAACATAGAAATTTAGTTAGGCTGTTAGGATTTTGCTTGGAGAGAAAGGAGAGGATACTTGTTTATGAATTCATACCAAATTCCAGCCTTGACAACTTTCTATTTGGTTTGTAATTTTTTAATTTCATTAACTTGTTATATGGACTAATTAATTCTTCTTCGAAACTCAATTCATCGCTAACTTCAGTCATACAATTTGACTAATTTGTAGATCGTGAGAACGAAGAAGAGCTAGACTGGGCAAGACGTTACCAAATTATAGTTGGAATAGCTCGAGGAATGAAGTATCTCCATGAAGATTCTAGGCTAAGAATAATACATCGCGATCTCAAGGCTAGTAATGTTCTATTGGATGCAAACATGAATCCAAAGATTTCAGATTTTGGCTTGGCAAAGATTTCCCCTAATGATCAAAGTCAAGTAAATGCAGCAACAAGAAGGATAGTTGGAACATAGTAAGTTGAAGACCAAAGAATGTAAATTGTATCACCAGCTCCCGAGTAGATAAGTAGCTTAATTTCTAGCAAACTTTGTTATTTTTCCTTCTTTTCTGCCTTCGAAAATCTTTCATGTTATTTTACTGGAACATACAGATTGATATTTTTTTTGTTTCAGTGGTTACATGTCTCCAGAATATGCAATGCATGGAAAATATTCTGTGAAATCCGATGTGTTCAGCTTTGGAGTCTTGGTTTTGGAGATTATTCATGGCAAGAAGAACTCAAGTTATTATCTATCACATGAAAGCGATGACCTTTTGAGCATTGTAAGTTTAAATTAAAACCCAACTTACGTTTTCTTCAGTAATGTCAAAATTTTGCTGCACGAAGAGATTTAGGTTATTGGGCGATTCCAGAAACGTGAAACTTGTTCTCTAACTCGAGTTTTGCCACAGACTTGGAAGAATTGGACAAATCAGACACCGTTCTTGATTTTGGATCCAAGATTGAATGGCTCATATTCTCGAAATGAAGTTCGGAGATGCATCCAGATCGCTTTATTATGCGCTCAAGAAAACCCAGTTGATAGGCCTTCAATGGCGACAATAGTAATTGCGTTGAGCAGTTATTCAATAACATTAGCGCAACCTCGACAACCAGCATCTTATCTGCGATGGAGAACAGCACCAGACAGATTAAGACACCAACGTGATTCTGATGGGAACAGGCGCACAACCCCGTCGTGTCCGAATGATTCTTTGATTACTGAAGTATATCCTCGCTAAAGGTTAATTGCGATCAATCTCGTTATTTCGTAAACTTATAAACATTGTAGAAGCTTCTCCTAGTCTAATAATTCATCTTTTTATTTCTCTAACTAAATGCTATTTAGAACCAACTTTTCAGTTGTTTATGAAGTAATCAAACAAACATTAAATATGAAAATCGAACTATTAATTAATTTAGACTGCAGTCGTATATGTGAATCAATCTTTATATAAAATATTTAAGTAGTTATTGCTTCGTGTATAAAATACACAAATAAGTCATTGTTTTCTAAATTCAGATATCCTTTATGCATCTTACTTCTCACGTAATCATATGTATATTTTGTATTTTAATTTATAGCACATGTATATTAAATTAAATTAATATTTTTTAATCAATTATTAATGGATATTCTTTTTTATTTTTTTATTAATCTTTTTAAAATTATATAAAATGTGATGAGAATTTATAAATTGCTTCTTTTGGTTTGTTTTTTTTGCGAAAAAATTATTTCATACCGATAAATAGATAGTAATTATATACCATAAATTTACATTATAGTTAAAAAAAAATACTCATAATAATCAACAGTTAAATTAGTGACTGAAACATTGAATGAATAAATATATTTATTTATATGGATGATAAATAGATGTGTAGTTATTACTAATAATAAAGAAGAGTAAAAAAAATTTAATAATTAATGTGTCTAAAAATAAATTTTTATTTCTTATAATTTAGATAAAAGTATTAATAGTTGTTTATTATAAATAGAACAAAAAAAAATATTGATAAAAAAATGTTAATCAAATCCACAAAATTTAATTGGGTACAACATAAAATTCAAACATTTGTATTTTATAATAGGATAAATTATAATTTTTATTCTCTAAATTTAGGATTTACGATTTAATTTATTTTAAACATAATTTTTGTCCTTTAAATTTAATTTAATTAAGGTTTTAATTTAATTGCATTTTTGTTGAATTTATTAATCTAAATTCAAGTTAGATTTCAATTTAATTTTTTAATTTTTGTCTTAATTCAATTTAATACTCTACTTATTTTTTTCATCAAAGTTTTTCTATAACTTCATTGTGTATCTCTCTTAACTTTGATCAAAATTTTTAAAACACACTTCTTACTTACGACCATTCTTGAAACTTTCACTAATAAATGTCTAATTTATCACAAATCATTCTTGAAAAATTACCCGTTTTTGTTTATTTTTATCCATTTTAGACACTTAACAATCACAGTAAAACCACCTTCATCGATCAAATTTTATATATGATAAATGATATTATTAATTATTTTTATTATAAATTTTGTAACAATCAAACATACGAATTCATCATCCCCAATTTTCTGTATTACTTACCCTAATTCAATACGACCTACATCTCACAACTGAAGCTGAAATTAAACTACTGAAGAATTTCGCTCATTGCTGCTGCTAAAAACCGACTACCTCTGTTCTTGATGAAAACCTCTGCATCTCTCATGAATTAGTCTGTGAGCTTGTTTACAATCCACCACCTTTGTCACCTTTGTTTGCATTTGGACTCGTTGGATTAACGTCGAAAACAAGATTATTATGTGCGATTTCTTTTAAAATGTACGAGCTATAGGATGTTTAGATGTAATAGTTAAAAATATTATACATTTTTTTTCTTGACAGAAAGATGTTTTGTTTTTCTCCATATTTCTTCTAGTTAAAAAAAATCTGTCATATAATCGGTTTCAAAACATGTCCAATTTATATACACAGGCAGAACCGTGTGTGTGATTTTGACCTTGAAATATTTAATTAATTACATATTTCTCAAGTAGAGTTAAACATATTATAGAAGAGACATTTATTTCATCAATGAAGGTTAGCAATGATTGAATTCGTAAGCCACTCCCACTCTTTAAAAATTGAGACGTGCTAACCATGGGAGCTAATAATTAGTATAAAATTGACCAAATGTCAGATGTGAGAATTAACAATTAAGAACCAGGAAACGTCAAAAGGGTCCTGAGTTGGCCTTTCAAACTAGGCTTCCGAATTTTCAACTACTTTGGGCGAATTACATCACCCCCGTTGCCAATTTGGCACCGACTCAGATCACACAGGAAAAAAAACTAGGCAGAAGGAAAATGAGCATTGTTTCTCTTCAACATGTTTTGGTTTTTATCACTTCATAATTTATACACTAAACCACTCCAAATAGCCATGTTTTGGCTCAACATGTCTCTCTTCAACAACCATGTTGCCCCTCTTTTACTTTTATCTCTGTTTTTCACAATTGGATCACTTAGCACCTCAGCAGCTCCCACTTACAACGACAATTACTGTCCAGACAACGCAACATACCAATCCAACCCAACATTCCAAACCAATCTCAATGTTCTCCTCTCATCTCTCGTCTCCAACGCATCCCAATCTGACGGCTCCTATTACTCCGCCATGGGCATGGGGACCACAAGCGTCGCCAATGGCCAATTCCTCTGCCGCGGTGATGTCTCCTCTGCCACGTGTCACGATTGTGTTGCCACCGCTGCCACGGAGATAGCACGCCGCTGCCCCAACAAGACAGAGTCCATAATATGGTACGACGAGTGCATGCTGCGTTTTACCAACCGCTACTTCGCCCCCACCAGCATCGTCCCCGGATCAAGTTTGTCCGATGACAAAAACATCTCTTTCTCGGACTTGGTTAGCTTCAACCGAACGTTGTTCAGCTTGTTGAACGATCTGGCCGAAGGGGCTGCGAGGTCCCAGTCAGCGCAGAAATTCGCCGCCGGGGAGCAGAAATTCGCCGGTTCCTCGCCGCAGACGACGGTGTATGGCCTGGCGCAGTGCTTGCCGGATTTAACGAGTGCTCAGTGTGAGGAGTGTTTGAAGAATGGGATTTCAACTCTTCCATCGTGTTGTGGAGGAAAACAGGGCGCGAGGGCTCTTCTTGCGTGGTGCAATGTTCGATACGAATTGTTCCGGTTTTACAATACTGGCGACACGTCAGCACCGCCACTTGTTCCTCCTCCTCCTCCTCCTTCGGGTATGTTGCATAACAAATAGTGCTCACTATTATGGGAGATTTTATATGTTACATTACATATACTTTTTAGTTACAGAATATCAGTTAACATCATTATCTTATTTTATATGATTTTTGGGATTTCTTGTTCATGACCACATTAATCAGGCTCCTGTAGCATTAGAAATAACATGAAAACAAGAATAATGAGAATTGGTCTTTGTTTGTTTGATGATATATGTAATCGCGTTTGTGGTCTAGAAAACTTCTTACATTCTTATATAAAAAATACTAGACATATCTCTTAGAAAATGACTTTTCAATATTAAGTCCTTTTTTCAATTGCTAAAGCTTGATTTACAACTACTTATGCAGGAAATAAGAATTCAAGATCACGAATTATCTTGATTGTTGTTCTTGTTATCGCGTCAGTAATACTCTTCTGTTGTGTCTGTTGTTTCATATTGAAAAGATCAAGGAAGAAGTACAAGACCCTTCTAAAGGAAAATTGTAAGTAATTTGAAAAACAAAGTCAAACCATTCTCATTTTTTAGAAGGTAAAAGGACTAATTTTAGCTTTGGAACTTCGATGTTGTTCCAGTTGGAGAAGAAAGTGCTACTTTGGAGTCGTTACAATTTAGTTTGGCCACAATTGAAGCTGCCACAAAGAAGTTTTCATGTGAAAACAGAATAGGCGAAGGTGGATTTGGAGAGGTTTATAAGGTGATAATGTGTAAAAGCATATGCATATTTGTTTCCTGTAGTTAACTAATTGATTGTATTTTCAGGGTATTCTTTCAGATGGACGAGAAATAGCTGTCAAAAAGCTTTCACAAAGTTCAGGACAAGGCGCGATCGAATTCAAGAATGAGATTTTATTAATAGCAAAACTTCAACATAGAAATCTGGTCACATTGTTAGGGTTTTGCTTGGAAGAGCAAGAAAAAATGCTCATTTACGAATTTGTTCCCAATAAAAGTCTTGACTACTTTCTATTCGGTAAATAAGTTTTACTTAACTCTGTTTTTTTTTTCCTTTACTTATTATTGAATTTTAAAACTCGTGCTAATGGAAATATATTTACTTCTTTCTTCTTTTTTTTTTATGGATTTTGACAATTATAGATCCCCACAAGAGCAGTCAATTGAATTGGTTGCAACGTTACAAAATTATTGAAGGAATTACCAGAGGAATTTTATATTTACACGAACATTCGAGATTAAAAGTTATACATCGCGATCTTAAACCTAGTAATATATTATTAGATGATAACATGAATCCGAAGATTTCAGATTTTGGGATGGCAAGAATTGTTGCTATAGATCAAGTCAAAGGAAATACAAATAGAATAGTTGGAACATAGTAAGTATTTTCTTCACATTTTTTATATTTTATTTATTTATTAGGTATAATTTAATCTTTTATATTCATATTAAAATGATATAATAATGTTTACTTATAGCATTCTTTTCTGCTACATATATTCATTAATGTATATATTTTTTTAATATTGATATTTTTAAATAGCGGTTATATGGCTCTAGAGTATGCAATGCATGGACAATTTTCAGAAAAGTCAGATGTTTTTAGCTTTGGAGTGATAGTTTTGGAAATAATCAGTGCAAAAAAGAATGTTCGTTCTCCTTTTTCAGATCACGAGGACCTCTTGAGTTATGTGAGTAGTTATTTCTGGTAGATTGTTTTCCATTAGTGTATACAAATGAAGCAGAAAGAAGCAGCCCAATGGTCTAATATCTAATTCATAAATTTGTTGCAGGCTTGGGCACAATGGAGGGATCAAACACCATTAAAGATATTAGACCAAAACATTAAAGACTCTTGCAATGATAGTGAAGTCATTAAATGCATCCAAATAAGTTTATTATGTGTACAAGAGAAACCAGAAGATAGACCTACAATCGCACAAGTTGTTTCATATCTCAACAGCTCTTCAACTGAGTTGCCATTTCCTGGAAAACCGACAAATTCAAAGC